AAGCAATTTCCAAAATTTGTGAAAAATGACAAAAACAGCTGGCTGCCTGGACAGTCACCCAAGGTTTCTCTGTAATGTTGGGGCATCCATCTTAAGTCTATAGGCCTAGAATATTTGACAGACTTTTCTATGAAGTAGGATTTTTGAAGGACTGTCCAACCTTGTCTTGGCAAGGTTTGGTATAGTCACTCTCATTTGTGTCCTGCTTGTCCAACTGGACAGCAAACTGTCAGCAGTTGAGGTAAGAGTGCATTCTTGATCAGTGACTTACTTTTGTTACGAAGAAAATTAGCTTAATTTGGAGTTTCTCTGATGCCCACCATCTTCTCTGAAGTACATTGGTGCTGCCAAGAGCAGACATGTCTGTCTCTTTGTCATAAAAAAAACTATGCTATTAAAACATCTATAATACCATATTATGCATATCTCTGAAGTGTTTGAAGACCACCTGCCTACCTAAAATATTACCTTTTTGATCATGAAGAAAATTCCTAACATGACTACAATTTCAAATATAATACATGTCTAACTGCTAACCTGAATTTTCTTATTAACCTAAATAGTTGGTAATAATGGCTTTCAAGAGTTCCATCTGGATGGGTGAGTTTGTGCTATCCAGGGGCGGATTGTCCCAGAAGAGAGCACAACCCCTCTCCCCCAGCTCCTACTGCAGGGCTGACTTTCTTACACATGACCCAACCCCCCAGCCCCCCCCCAAGCCTGCCCTGCTGTCTGCTAGGTCCTTTGCTCAAGAACCATTTTCCCGCTTCTACACTAAGGCTACCCACCCAGAGTGGTGAGTGCCTGCCTACCTGGCAGGCCTCAAGTTCCCCCAAAAGGGAGCGTGGGCACCTTCAGCTTGTGCTGCAGGGTCTCCTGTGTTCTACTCGACCCCGCCCAGGCCCCCAAGTTCACCCTTTTGTCCGAGGGTCATTGGACTACCAGGCATCCATGTTTCGGTGCTGATGAGTCCCATCGGGATGGGAACGGTTCCTGCTTCTACACTGAGGAGATATAGCCAGAGAGTCAGTCACAGCAAAGACTGGACCAAGACACCAGGTCTCTCCTGGCTCCATTTGAAGGAAGAGATGGGCAGGCGCCAATGCAAGAATTCCTCCAACAACCTGAAAGGCAACATGACATCACCAGTATCCAGGGATCCCGTAACAAGAAGAATTGTACACCCTACTCCAGAAGAATTAGAAGAAACCGACTCAA